ATGGTAAATCTTTATATATATATATAGATATAGATAATAAAAATAGATATTTATATTATCAAATGTCATACTTTTATTTATTTTATTTTGTTAATATAACATTTCAATTTAAAATAGTATAGATATATAGGGGTGGAGCCACCCCAAAGGCCGGTGTGGACTCCAGTCCGGTCTTAATTTTTCGTACATATAAATATATACTAGTAAAAAATATTTTTCTCCATGTTATATTAGGCTAGCCACTAATTAATCTTACTTTGGCCTAAAATAAATTATATTATTTAAAATTAAATTAATAAATTATATAATTTAAATTAAGTCTCTTTTCGCTTTTCCTTTTTAGCTCACTATGGTGTTTTCCGTCTTTTTTTGTGTTTATATTATACATTTTAGTTAAATAAGATTTATTTGAATAATTTTATTCGAGAGAATGATGGTTTGTGTTAGACTTCCATTAGAATACTTAGTGTGCGGTTGAATTTATTGATTTTACAATTCAGTTGTATATTCTCTTGTTTTTCCAAATAAATGGTATTTCAGTATATAAAAAAATTAATACCAAGGCTTATTTATTAATATGGCATATTTAATAAAATGATATATGAACATTAAATGACATGCCATACAATAAGAATAAAGCGATTAGTACACCGTCTCATGGCAGTATTTTTAATAAATATATTATTTTTTCTAACAAAAATTTAAATATATGAGAAAAAAATATCTTTGCATTTAAAAAATAATAATTAATTTATTGTAAGTTATGATTTGTATTATGTATAAAAGAGTAGTTAGAGTTTTTTTAAAAGGTCTATATAATTGATTTTTATTCTATAAATGCAACATTTATATTTTAATATTATTCAATGCGTGATTCATTCAATTTATATTAATAATTTTAAAATAATTTTCATACTTTTATTTTTTTAATATATGTGTCTAGCTAGATTATTTGAGTCAAATACTTCATTTGTAAAATCGTGTACATTTAATAAACGAGTTGTCATGACTTAACTCGTTTAATAAACAAACACAAATGTTTCCCCGAGTTTGGATCGTTAAATCTATACAAAAATCCTAAATTCTAACCAAGTTGATCACGAACACGTTCAACTCCAACTTGTTTGATAGAAAAACTCGATTAGTTGTTTGACTTTAGCTGGTTTAAATATACAAGTGAGTCGAGTTCGATCTTTCACAAGTCGAATCAAACTATGTTACCGGTAGTGCTGTTAAATTAAACGACCCTGACTCGACTCGTTAAGGCTAGCTCGAATTCAGCTTGGCTCATTTGATAAACGAGCTGAGCTCGAGCTCATTAAAATCGCATTTGGACAACGAGACGAGCAGGCTCGACAATGCTCATTAAGGCTTGAAAAGAGATTTTTTATAAATTTTTTAATAGTTCGGCTCGTTAAAGCTTAAGATCGGCTCGTTAGCCGACCTCGAACTAAATTTCCAGCTCGTTTATTTAATGAGCCGAGCGGTTAAGAGCTCGAGCTCAAGTACCATTAGATCGAGCTCGGTTCGACTTGTTTACCGGCCTAATTACCGAATTCAATTTACACGTTTTGCAGCCCATTGTAAAAAAAATTCTGGTTCCGCTCCTGGATATATTGATAACATATAGTTGTCTAACCGCTAAACCAGTCTGACTAACAATTTTACTGTTTGTAGATATATAGCCTCACTCAAACCAATTTTATAATACTTACTTACTTTCATGTGAACTAGTACAGAGCCCATGCGATGCACAGGTGAACAATTTTAAGGTCATTTATCCATTCTTGTAATTATATAAATGAATAAAAAAAATGTACGGGATATATATAGTACGTGACCTGTAATAGGCCAAAATGTGAACACGGGTGATACACGTGGTGCACAATTTTAAGGTCATTTATTAGTGCATACCTCGTGCGATGCACGTGATACATATAATAAATCAATTATTTCTATAGGACTTGTACGTCTAGACAAAAAACAATAGGCTTGGATCATCATATTTCACATCTTTTAATAAGTGGCGTTTATTTAAGCCAAAAATTAACATGTTAATTAATATATAATTCCCCTAACACGTCATACTAATATTTATTTGATTTTAGAATACATATTTATTCATTGATATAGGAAAAAATAAAAATTTTATTAATTATTGTTCACCATATAATACTCAATTATTATTTTATTATAAAATTTACAGTCATATGTAATTATTATTATTTATAAAAGTTATAGAATTAGTCTTCTTTATGTAATGAAATTCAAAATAAAATTTTGAGTATAAATGTTTACAAAATACAAACACATATTTTTCAGAATTCAATTTTCTCATAATAATTCTTTTTTTCTTTAAAAAAATGATTTAGCAATTGCCAAAAAATAAATCCCTTACATAATCAAGAGATTTTTTCGATTTTCATCCTAAGGCTTTATAGTTTATTTAACATACTATGCAATAGAAAAATATTTTACAATAAGTTCATTTTTGAAACATAGCAAAAAAAACGTAATAAAAACACTATCATATTTGACAATAATATACAAATAAATAACATGTCGAAATTTTAAAGAATAACTATAATTTTATTATCTAACCATCAATAAAATCATTTATTGATGTGATCATTATCTTTTAAATAAATAATATTATTTTTTTAAAAAAATATTAGTGTTATATAATTAAATAAAGGTTAAAAAATATTACTCGACAAATATTAATTATAATGTATATCAGTAAAATCATTGCATAAATTATATAAGGAAAATATCTTGAAGATCATATTTGGATAGTAAATGTAAATATGCAAGCATTTAATGCATATAGTAAAAAGTTCAAAATAAAGTATGCATTAAATGTGTGTTGACTTTTCTTGCTACTATTTTTAGTAAATAAATTGGCTTTTAATATATATATAGATGTGAATATATTTCACCTAACCAATAGCTGTTATATTCATAGAAACTTTTTACATATTCTTTTTTTTTTTTTTTGGGGTCATTTTCCCTTGATGCATAACCTTAATTTTTCTTAAAAAAATATTATTGAGTTAGGTAAAATGTACCAAAATGCTAAAGAATATAGACAGTAGAAATGGGAAATTCAAATTTTTGAATATTTACCAAGGATCAATTTATAATATAGTATTAGAGTTTGTTTGGTAGTCACATTAAATAATTAGTTTATAAGTTTTGAAGAACTTATTAACAACTTTATTAAAAAAGATTCTGATTAGATGATATATATTTTCAAATACTTTAAACTTACTTCAAATGACACTATTACAAGTGTTTCAAGTAAATTCATAAAGTATATGCTCTTGTTCATCTTTTAACCTTTTTTTCTTTCTTTTATCTTTCTCTAGAGATGCACCCTTTTTTTTCAACTTTATATTTCAAACTAGCTTATGAAGTAATTTTGTCAACCATGCACTATTAGTCATCACCTATCAACTACAAGTTCTCAATGATCCATAACTAGCTATAGTCATCTTTATAACCTTAGCTCCAACTACAAAATTAACCCAAATCACAAACTAGAACAAGTTAAACTAAAACATAACCCAAAAACACAAGGATTTTATTTTTTCATAAGGACAAATGGTAAAAATGTCATTTTCAATTGAGGTTGGATAGAGACTATTATTATTCTTTATCAACAAAAAAACTAAGAAGCAAACAGTTGAGAAGCCAAACTATAACTTAATAAAAATTGTCTCCATTATAAATTTAGGAAGATGCTACGGTCCCATTACAGAGTCATTTCGCCAGGGTTTGTAACCGTTAGATCAACTATCTCTGACGGTTATATGATGATTTAACGGCTAAAAAAATCCAACCGAATAGTTCCGTAACGAGACCTTAACATTTTCTCATAACTTAAGGATAAATTTGCTCTACAAACTACTATATACAAAACTATCCCCATCAACACAATGTAAATAGTGTCCACATATGTAGCATCACATTTACCACAAACAAAAACCAATCAAACTAAAACATTACTTAAACAAAAAAAATTGAGAAAAAAAGAAAGAAAAGAAAACACTTGGATTTTGTCTTTATATGGTAGAAAAGTCATTTTCAACTGAGGTTAGATAGACACTATATATTTTATCAGCAATTATAAACACTGGAAACCTTCTGTCAACCAATACTACATGTTTAAATAATTAAATTATACACATTTGACAGCAATATTATTTGACTTGCAAAGGTTTCCCCCCCAAAACCCCCCTATCTATATATATATATTCCCCAAACCCCTTTCTTCTCCATAATCACTCACCACCATTTTCATTTACCAAAAAAATTCTCTCACAAAAGAATAACTCACCAAAACTCACAAAGCTACCCTTTTTCTTGCATGGCTACCTTATAACTTCCATATTAAAAAACCCATCAAAGCTACAATTTTTCTTGCAAGGCTAACTTAATTTTCATCCATCTCCCCTTCAAAAAAGAAAAAAAAAAAAAAAAA